TTAAGGGAATTGAAATATGCAGCATGATCAGAAAAGTATTTACAAGGTAAAATTCAAGAAATTGGTAAAAAAAAATTATGCAGTTGGTAAAGGTGACCAAAGTTTCTATTTTTGTTAAGGATGCATGGGAAACAAGGGTGAGCATGACATTTGAGGATGAGAATGAAAACTCATGAGTTAGAATTTATACCCCTCACATTACATCTGGGAGATATCAGTCAGGAGGAAGTGTTGTGATTACTTACAATCAGTAGTCACAATTGTAAGTCTGTAACTCAGAAAGAAATTTGGTGTAACTCAGACAGATCTGATCAATTTTTGTGGTTGGTTAGTGATGACACTATAAAAAAACTGGAACTCTAGTGGAAACAAGGTAGGTGCAAATTTACTAAAAGGCTGATAAGATGTCATATCATGATAGTTTTCAGCCCTTGATCAGCCCAGCTGTACTGTTCTTTTTGGATTTATTCTCTCCTTTTTTGTTACCTGTACATTAGCTTCTTAATGCTGCTGCAACAAATTACCACAAACATGGTGGTTTAAACCAACACAAATTTATTATTTTACAGTTCTGGGGGTCAGAAGTCCAAAATGTGTCTTAATGGGCTCAATCCAGTTGTCATCAGGGCTGCATTTCTTTCAAGAGACTCTTAAGGGACAATCTGCTTTTATTGCCTTTTCCAACTTTTAGAGGCTGCCAGCATTCCTTGGCTTGTGGCTCCCTTTCATCTCCAAAGCCAGCAATGTTTGGTAGACTCACACTGCATCATTCTGACTCTCTCCTGCCTCACTCTTCCACTTACCTTTGAGATTACACTGAACCTGCCCGGATAACCCAGGATTATTTTCACATCTCAAGGTCAGCTGATTAGCAACTTTAATTCGTTTAATTCCATCATTCATTCCCCTTTGCTGTGTAACTTAACTTATTCATCAGTTTCCGGGGAATATGATGTGCACCTCTTTGGAGGGCCATTATTCTGCTTACCATATCTTGTTTTCCTTATCTTTTTACACATCTAGGTAAAGAAAGGAATATTTGTCTTATCATAGATGTAGCTGCCTGTGGGTTTCAGCATACAGGGGACACAGTATCATAAATAACACAAAATGATTCCACAAGAGATACATAAAGAAAAGAAAAAAAATTTGTGTTGTTGCACTACTGAAGGAAGAAGGGATCATGTTATGTGGAATTTGATGGCCTCTCAGACTCTCTTGGTGATAGTCATGGAGAAAAACTGCATGGGGTTGTTTTGTTATCTTTTAAAACAATTGTACACAAGATTTTTTAGGAGAAATATGTTTCTTATCATTATTCTTCATATTTTGCTAATATAATTTCATCATCTAATGGGATTTACTTACTTCTGCCTACCCAAGGAAAGCCTTTTTTAAAATATCCAATCTCACTAAAATGGGTCTTATATTTTTTTCCTCATTTGCAGCGTTTCCTTGCGTGAGCTATGTGAAAATGAAGATGACAACGTTGTCTTAGCCTTTGAACAACTGAGTACAACTTTTTGGGAAAAGTTTAGCAATGTCTAAAACAAAGTATATGCAAACCACTTAAAAATAATTCCTTAGTAGTTTTTCAGGTCATACTTTCGATTCTCATGGTTCTTGCCAGAAATACCTTATGATGAAGTGGGAAGAGGAAGCACTTTGCAATCAAACAGAGTTGCAATCAAACCTGCCATGTTCTATCATGAATAGTCACAAATTGCTTAGTATACCTGAATCTTGGTTTCTGTTTAATAACTGAGTAATAATGCTTATGTCTCAGGTAGTTTGAGGATTGACTAAGAAAATGCAAGAATCTCCTATGTGACTGAATAACAATTTTTACTCTGTGAAGCCAAAGTAAATATTATATTCTCATTATTTTTATCCCCAGCATCAATATTTATAAAATGTTTATTAAGCCTTGACAAAATGATTATAGTATCCTGAAGCTGAAATATATTCTCTCCAATTAACATAAATATGGTTACATAAGTTAGCTATACTGCTATTGAGATAGTATTTTCTAGTATACTTAAACTAGTTTTTAAACATATAAATAGGAGTTTTGGTATATGTTTTGTGATGATTTAACAAAAATACAGTGAACGATTTGCTTTATTATAATTGTATATAAGTGACTGGAAAACCACAAAGAAAGTGAATTTGATCTGTTTACCATTGGTCTCATTGTGTTAAATATATACATCTATCAATCCACTTGCACAATGTATTCATTATATATATTGTAATTTATATGTAATAATCTTGCCTCTTTACCGTTAGCCTCAGGTCACAGTTCTAGAATCTATTTTAGATTGTAAACTAAAACATAAAACTTTTTATTCTCAAAGCAAAAAGTCTGCTATCTCCTGCCACCCAGATGTCCTACTGAAAGATTATCTCTTGTATGCTAGTTTTTATAAATAGATTACCTTGGCTTAGAATAACACCTGTTGTTCATTTAGTCTGGAGATATAAAAATATTCTGATTTCTGACTAAACCATCATTTCATGTACCATATTATAGGTCTCATCCAAAAAGGATGAGTTCATGTCCTTTGCAGGGACATGGATGAACCTGGAAACCATTATTCTCAGCAAACTATCACAGGAAGAAAAAACCAAACACCGCATATTGTCACTCATAAGTGGGAGCTGAACAATGAGAACACATGGGCACAGGGAGGGGAACATCACACATCAGGGCTTGTTGGAGGATTGGGGACAAGGGGAAGGGATAGCAGGAGGTAGGGGGGATAGGAAAGGGATAGCATTAGGAGAAATAACTAGTGTAGATGATGGGGTGACGGATGCAGCAAACCACCATGGCATGTGTATACCTATGTAACAAACCTGCACATTCTGAACATGTACCTCAGAACTTAAAGTATAATAATAAAAGAAAGAAACTGAAGTGTTTTCTACTGCCTGTTAATCTGTACTCAAAACAATGGTACACAATATTAATAGATTGTCATGATGGTTTTCCCTATTTGTGGTTTCATGAGTCTGATTCAGACATGAAGTTTTTTTTTTCCATATTACTGAGCCAATCTGACTTCTTAATTTTTAGGAGGAAAATGAGATTTTTTTTTTAAATCTAGAGTCTTCTGAAAAGAGGGTAGTTATACCTAACCACCTTGAGGTGGGTCCAAGTCCAATGGGCAGCTTTCTTTTTGTTTTTTAGCAAAAAAAAATCTTTTTTTTTTTTTTAGCAAAAACCTGCAACAATTATGAAGAATGTGTTTATACAGAAACTCTAAAAGCATTTTATGTTTATTTGTGGCAATAAAATGTAATTTTTCTTTTTAAGAAACATGCAGAGGCCTTGGTAAGATTTGCTGGAGAATAGTTACAATGGCCACAGTTCCTTCCCATCCTTTTCCTGAGAGGGGAAAAATCATATTGTCATTGGGCCTTTACAAGGTGTCCTGCAATAGCCAATTATTAAAATTATTTATTTTGAGAAATTCGCAGATATATGTAGTTATAAGAAGTAATACACAAGAGATCCTGTATACCCTTTGCCAAGTTTTCCAAATGGTAACAGCTTGCATAATTATAGTGTAATATGATATCAGAACCAGGAACTTAACACTCAATGATCTATTAATAGTGCAGTTTTACATGCACTCATTTATGTGAATTTAGTGCTATGCAATTTTATTGCATGCGTAGGTTTGTGTATCACCATAGTGATACAGAAGAATTCCATCACAAGGATGCTTCTCCTTGCCCTTTTATCACCATCCCCACCTCCCTGTCACTCTCTTCCGTATACCCCTTCTCTCTTCCCATCTAACACACACCCTGTTTTTAACCTCTGGCAACCACTAGCTGTACTCTATTTCTGTAATTTTATTATCTCAAGACCTATATAAATGGAGGCCAGGCGTGGTGGTGCATGCCTGTAACAGCACTTTGGGAGGCCAAGGTGGGCAGATCACCTGAGGTCAGTAGTTCAAGACCAGTCTGGCAAACATGGTGAAACCCCACCTGTACAATAAATAAATAAGTTAGCCCGGCATGGTGACTTATGAATGTAATCTCAGTTACTCAGGAGGCTGAGGCAGGAGAATTGCTTGAATCCAGGTTGTGGAGGTTGCAGTGAGCCAAGATTACACCACTGCACTCTAGCCTGGGTGACACAGGGAGACTCTGTCTCAAAACAGCAACAACAAAAACCTATATAAATGGAATCAAATCATACAACATGTAACCTTTTGAGATATGTTTTTCTCACTTAGCATAATTCCCTTGAGACCATCCAAGCCACTGCTTATATCAATAGTTTGTTTCCTTATTAATGAATAGTGCCATGGTATGGATGTACCATGGTTTGTTCACCATTCAACCCATTGAAGGGCATTTAGCTGTTTCTTGTTTTAGGTTATGCTACAAATATTTACATTCCTTCTGTTTGTTATTCTCCTATTTCTCCTTTCTTGTATTCCTGTGAATTATCTGAACATTTTTAGGCGTCCATCTTGATTTAATTATATTGTTTTTGAGTATATCACTATGTATAGTATTCTTAGTTGTTGCTCTTGGTGTTGCAATGTACATGTCTTTGTTTTCTGTTGCTATAACAGAATATTAAAGTATGGATAATTTGTAAAGAACAGAAGTTTATTTGGCTCCTGGTTTTGGAAGGTGAAAAGTCCAAGGGTGTGGTGCTGGCATCTGGTGAGGGCCTTCCTGCTGCTTTATAATGTGGCAGAGAGCATCATACAGTGAGAGGGCATGAGTGTGTCAGCTTGGGTCCCTTTTTCTCTCTCTCTTTTTTTTTTTTCCGAGACAAAGTCTCACTCTGTTACTCAGGCTGGAGTACAGTGGTGTGATCTCAATTCACTGCAGCCTCTGCCTTCCAAGTTCAAGTGATTCTTGTGCCTCAGCCTCCTCAGTAGCTGGGATTACAGGCAAGTGTCACTGCATCTGGCTAATTTTTGTATTTTTAGTAGAGACAGGATTTTGCCATGTTGGCCAGACTTGAACCCTTGACCTCAGGTATCCACCCTCCTTGGCCTCTCAAAGTGCTGGAACTATCTTTTTATCTTCTTATGGTCACCAGTCCCACCATAGGCATCTCACTCAGATATTTTAAACTGATCATGAGTATCTCCCAAAGGCCCTATCTCCAAATATCATCAACATATGAATCTGGGAACTAAGTTTCCAAAATATGAAATTTGGGAACACGTGGAAATTGTACCAATGCACATGTAACTTAACACAGTATACTGGTATCAAAGTTTGTATCACCTTATTATTATTTTTTTTACCCTCCACACATTTAAATAATAATTTTCTTAAAAATTTCCTCCATATACATTGAGCACCACATTAGATAATGTTAAAAATTCTGCTTCACCTATCAAATATGATTTAAAAAGTTCATGGGAAGAATATTCTATTATATTTAACCCTATTTCTTTTCTCTTTTGGTTTTCTTCTTTCCTTTATGAAGTCCCACGCTCTCTTTTGTATTCATTTTCTTTCTGTTGAGAGAACTTCCTTTACCCACTCATTAAGAATAGGTGTGCCTTAGTGCTCAGAGCGAGATGGAGCTCAGAGTGGTTGGAGCTCGGAACAGAAGGAGCTAGCAGACGTTGCTCCCAGCAAGATGTAGTTCCAAGCAGATGGTACTCAGAGCAAGCTGGAGCTCTAAGCAGATGGTGCTCAGAGTAAGATGGACCTAAGATTGATCAGAACTCCGAGAAAGATAATGCTCTGTGCTGATGGTACTTAGAGCAAGATAGAGCTCAGAGTGACTGGAGCTCTGAGCAAGATGAAGTACCTCCAAGTGAGATGGAGCTTCAAGCAGATGTTGCTTGGTGTAAGACGGAGCTCGAAGCAAGATGGAGCTCAGAGTGATTACAGGTACAAGTAAGATGGAGCTCAGAGAAGATGGACTTCAGAGCACATAGAGCTCTGAACAAAAAGGAGCCAAGAGCAAAATGGAACTTGGAGCAGATGTTGCTTGGTTAAGATGGAGCTCAGAGGAAGATGGAGCTCAGAGTGATTGAAACATAAACATTGCTTTGAGAGATTGGAGCTCTGAACAGACGGTGCTCAGAACAAGATGGAGCTCTTAGTGATTGGAGCTTTGAGAACAATGGGGCTTGGGACAAATGCAGCTCTGAGCAACATTTAGGTCAGAAAACATGTTGCTCATAGTAAGATGGAGCTTGAGCAGATGGTGCTCAGGGCAAAACGAAGTTGGAAGTGATTGGTGCTCTTAGCACAATGGAGCTTGGAGCAGATGAATTTCTGAGCAAGATGGAGCTTGAAGCAGATAAAGCTCTGAGCAAGAAGGAGCTCTAAGCAAGATGGAGCTTGGAGTAAATGTTGCTTGGTTTCAGATGGAGCTCAGAGCAAATGGTGCTCAGAGCAAGAGGGAGCTCAGAGAACATGCTGCTCACAGTAAGATGGCGCTTTGAGCAGATGGAGCTCAGAGTAGAATGGAGCTGGAAGCGATTGGAGACCTCAGCAAGATGGAGCTAGGAGAAGTTGGAGCTCTGAGCAGAGGGTGCTCAGAGCAAGATGGAACTTGGAGCAAATGGAGCTTCAAGCAGATGGTGCTCAGAGCAAAATGGAGCTCTGAGCAGAGGGTGCTCAGAGCAAGATGGAGCTTGCAGCAAATGGAGCTCCAAGCAGGTGGTGCTCAGAGCAAGGTGCAGCATGAAATGATTGGAGTTCCAAACCAAATGGAGCTCGGGTCGGATAGACCTCCAAGATAGACATCTGAGCAAGAAGGAGCTCCAAGCAAGATGGAACTTGTAGCAGATATTGCTGGTATAAGATGGAGCTCTGAGAAGATGGTGCTCAGAGCAAGAGGGAGCTTGGAGTGATTGGCACTCTGAACATTGCTCTGAACAATTGGATCTCAGAGTAAGATGAGCTCCGACCAGATGGTGCTCAGAGCAAAGTGGAGCCTGAAGTGATTGGAGCTCCCAGCAAGATGGAGCTCAGAGTGATTGGAACTCCAAGCAAGATGGAGCTTGGAGTAGATGGATCTCTGATTAGATGGCGCTCCAAGTAAGCTAAATGTCTACACAGATGGTGCTCAGAGCAAGATAGTGCTTGGAGTGATTGGAGCTCCAAGTAAGCTGGAGCTTGGAGCAGATGAATCTCTGAGCAAGAAGGAGTTTGGAGTAGACAGAGCTTGGAGCAAGAAGGACGTCTATTGCAGCAGATGTCACTTGGTGTAAGATGGAGATCAGAGAAGATGATGCTCACAGAAAGCTTGAGCTCAGAGTGATTGGCACTCCAAACATTGTTCTGAGCCATTGGAGCTCGAAGTAGATCATGCTCAGAGCAAGATGAGGCTCAGAGCAAGATGAGGCTCAGAGTAATGAGCTCCAAGCAAGCTGGAGCTAGTAACAGATGGAGCCTGGAAAAGATGTTGCTTAGAGTAAGATGGTGCTCAGAGCAAGATGGAGCTCAGAGTGTTTGGAGCTCCTAGCAAGCTTGAGCTCAGAGCAAATGGACCTCCAAGCAAGACAGAACTCAGAGATGCTGCTCACAGAAAGGTGGAGCTCTGTGTAAACAGCATTCAGGGCATAAACACCCAACATTTGTCTTTTGCAATCTTCACAGAAGGAAATTCTAGCAAATTTTAGTACCAAACTTCTAGTGAAGGAGCAGATCATTTCTTTATTAGCCACATATACTATGATGCCAGACCTAGAATCACCTTGCAATGGAAAGTTTAATGAGAGTTTGGGTCTCAACAGAATGTGGAATCCAAGAGAAGACTTAAGGATTTCTACCTCAAGCTCATTGTCTTCAAATAGCAGAATGGAGAACTTCTTGTCAAAGGACAGAATGGAGAACTACTTGTCAAAGGATAATCAAGTCCCTAGATGTCTCATCTGGACAGCATGGGTCAGACCTTCCAAGAGAAAACAACAATCATCGAAAGACCCTCAGTGGCACCTTTCAGCAGGAAGTAGATACAGAGAATGACCTCTGCCCCATCTACCAAAAGATTTCTGGGTCCCAACTCCTTGAGGTAGAAATATAAAAGTAGACAGTCAGATATGAGCAGGTACGAGGGGAGGTATCCATGTTGGAAAGGATCCCCCGGAACCAGTCTTAGGATACCCGGTACTCACTCCATGGTTGAACTGTCAGAATATTGTTAACTAGATCCTGAAAAGGAAGGAAAAGGGCAAAAAGGGAATTCCTGAGAGCTGAGCAGGCACAATGGGTACAAAATTGACTGCTCAACCTTCCTGGGGTGGCAATAATAAGCAGTGCCACCACTAGGATTCGTATTGATCACTGATTCCCATGCATGTGTATTAAGCACAGTAAGGGAAGATCCTCCAAACTTTGGTGAGAACTGGGTAAATAACTGAGGCAACAGAAGATCACAATGCAGAATGTCATGGGGGTGTTTCCAGCAGGGTCAGCCCACTCCTCTCCTGGAGTGTACTTGTACTTCCCCAATAAAACTTTTGCTTTGTTTACAAAAAAAAAAAAAAAAAAAGAAAAGAAAAAAAAAAGAATAGATATGCTTATGATAAATTCTCTTCATTTTTTCTTCATAGGACAATGTTTTTATTTCCTTTTTATTCCTCAAAGATTTAAACAAGAGACCAAACACCATAAAAACCCTAGAAGAAAACCTAGGCAATACCATTTAGGACATAGGCATAGGCAAGGACTTCATGAGTAAAACACCAAAAGCAATGGCCAATGGCAACAAAAGCCAAAATAGACAAATGGGACCTAATTAAACCTCAGAGTTTCTGCACAGCAAAAGAAAACAATCAGAGTGAACCAGCAACCAACAGAATGGAAAAAAAATTTTTGCAACCTACCCATCTGACAAACAGCTAATATCCAAAATCTGCAAATAACTAAAGCAGATTTACCAGAGAAAAACAACAAGCAAACCCATTCAAAAGTGGGTGAAGGATATGAACAGACACTTTACAAAAGAAGACATACATGAGGCCAAGAAACATGAAAAAAATGCTCATCATCACTGGTCATTAGAGAAATGCAAATCGAAACCACATTGAGATACAATCTCAATACATTTAGAATGGTGATCATTAAAAAATCTGGAGACAACAGATGCTGGAGAGGATGTGGAGAGATAGGAACACTTTTACACTGTTGGTGGGATTGTAAATGAATTCAACCATTGTGGAAGACAGTGTGGCGATTTCTTAAGAATCTAGAAATAGAAATTCCATTTGACCCAGCAATTCCATTACTGGGTATATACCCAAAGGATTAAAAATCATTCTTTCATAAAGACACATGCACATGTATGTTCATTGTGGCACTGTTGATAATAGCAAAGACCAGGAACCAACCAAAATGCCCATCAATGATAGACTGGACAAAGAAAATGTGGCACTTATACACCATGGAATACTATGCAGCCATAAAATACAATGAGTTTATGTCCTTTGTAGGGACATGGATGATTCTGAAAGCCATCATTCACAACAAACTGACACAAGAACAGAAAACCAAACACTGCGTGTTCTCACTCATAGGCAGATGTTGAACAACAGCACATGGGCACAGGGAGGGTAACATCACACACTGGGATCTGTTGGGGGATGGGGATTAGGGGAGGGACAGTGGGGAGCAGGGAGGTTAAGGAGGGATAATACTGGGAGAAATGCCTGATGTAGGTGACGGGGGGATGGAGACAGCAAACCACTACGGCATGTGTGTACCTATGCAACAATCCTGCAAGATCTGCATATATACCCTAGAACTTAAAGTACAACAAGAAAACAACAAACAAACAAAAAACAATTTACTAATGGAATGTTTCTATTTTGGAGATGCTTGTTGAAGTCCACCCAAACAGGTGCTGCTTAGTAAAGCCTTCCTGGGTTTAAGGAAAAATGCATATATATTTTTTCAATGGATATAAAACTTATGATTGAAGTTATTTTGAAAATTCAGCTCTAAAAAATGTTGTTCCACTTCCTCTGGCTTTCAAGGCTTCAGGTGGGAAAGTCTCTGTCATTTGAATTGGCATTTCTTTATTAGTTATGTGTTGCTTTTCTCTGTCTACTTTAAAGATCCATTTCTGACAGATTGCAGAAGATTAATTAAGATGTTTCTTGGCATCACCTTTTTTCCAGCCTTACTGGGGGTTCACTTAGCATCTTCAATCTGAAGTTGTTTGTCTTTTGCTAAATTTGGGACCTTTTAGTAGAGACATTTTAGCCATTAATTATTTGAACACTTTTTCAGACCCACCCTTTTTTCCCTATTCTTCTTTGTCTCCAATAACATGTTAGCTTTTTGGTGTTGTCCTGAAAGTTCCTAAAACTCTGTTTATTTATTTTTTCAGTCTACTTTCTCCCTGTTATTCAGATGGGGTAAACTTTATTGACCTATCCTCAGATTTACTGATTTTGTTCTATGTCATCTTTCCTCTACTATACAAGTCATGCAACAATTTTTGAAGAATGGTTTTTGCTATTGTATTGTATTTTTCCATTCCATATATTCCACTTCGTTCTTCTTTATTTGATTTCTTTTTACAGATTTTCCATGTTTCCATTTGTTGGGAATGGATTTTCCAGGGAATATGCATTTGCTTGTCGAAACAGTATAATGATAGATGTTTTTAAAGTTCTTTTCAAATAATTCTAACATCAGATTCATCTTCATATTGGCATCAGTTGATTGTCTTTTCTTATTCAAGTTTTGATTACCCTGATTACCCTGATTATTGGTATAATGAGTAATTTTTTTGTATTTTGAGCATTTTTGATATTACATGATGAAACACTGAATCATATTTAATATGTTTTTTGAACAGGACATCTCCTTGGTGAGATGTAGCCTCACCAGCTTGAGAGCCAGGCAGGTATTATTTTCCTTCTAGGTCTTGCTGACATCACTGTGACAAAGGGAGTGTAGGCTTCTACTGCCTCCATGCAGATAGTGGCGTTGTTGAAGTTTAACTTCCCCCATAATTCCTCTGAAACGTTTCTGGTGTAAGTGAGGCAGTGAATTCCCCGGCCTTGTTGCCTTTTAGTGGAGGTGTACACATAGTTTCCTACTGGTCTTTGCTGACAACCTGGGAGGATGAAAGCAGAGGCATGGTACACATTGCTTTATTGTTTCAGGGTGGGGATGGAAGCTCGGCAGCCAGCTTGGCCCTGTTCTCACCAGGACTATGTATGGAGGCAGAGCTGATTAGTCCTTCTTTGCTCCACCTCATTCTTCCTCATTGATGTTGATTGTGAGTGGAAGCTCAGCATTCCACTGCTGACCATCCCAACTCCTGTACACACTGTGAAGCAGGTTCACTGAGCCCTGGTTTGCCAACTTGTCTTAGTCTGATGAGAAAGAACACACTCAGACACAGTAAACTACATGAGGCAGATTTATTACTCACAGATATGCAGCAAGGGACAACAGAAGGCTGCAAGTCATTGCGAGCTAGTGCCCCAAGGCTCAGGAAAGCTGGCAAGGAGGATGATGTCTCAACTGTGGGGGCCCCACTTGCACGACAGCTGAGGGACCTTGGAAAGCAGCCTGGTTTGGGTTTTATACCCCATAGTAACAGGAGTCACTGGGATAAATAATTTCAAAGGACAGCCTATTCTGGGGAAGACTAAAACAGAGCCTGGATGATTCCAGCCAATTCCACCTTATCTCAGGATGTTGCATTCACAGCACATTCCACAGTTATTCTTGAGGACAACCGCAAGCAAGAAAGGGAGGAGAAATGGATTGCTTTAGGGCTGCATGGAGAATTGTCAGGGAGGGTAAAAGAAGAGTAGCAATGAGCCCCACTTTACACTACCTCATTCATTCTCACTGATGGCAAGTCAGGGAGAGACTCAGATGGCCCCAATACCACCAGGAGATGGTAAAGCTTAGTGGTGTGACCTCTTATTTCTTTATCAAGACTCATTGCTGCCAGGTGAGGGTAGAGGCTCAGTTTGCAGCTGGACCCTGCTTACATTATCTTGGTGAGGGAATCTGATCACCTGCTTCTTTTAGGCAGGGGATGGAATAATAGCTCCCTGCTCAGCCCTACCAACACCAACAGGCAAGTCAACCAGAGTGCCACTGTCTGCTTCTGTGGGGCAGGGGCACAGGGCAGTGGATTAGCTTCTCACTCTTCTATGCTGAAATTTCAGTGGAGGAGAGTTGCTGTTTCTTTCTATTGGGGTTTGGAAGGAGTAGGATGGATGTTTTAGTTCACTTTGTACTTCTGTAACAGAATACCACAGACTGGGTAATTTATAGATAATGCAAGCTTATTTGGCTCATGATTCTGGAAGCTGGGATGTCCAAAATCAAGGGAACACATCACGGTGAAGAACTATTTGCTGCATTATAAAATATCAGGAGGCATCATGTGGGTGAGAGAGAGAGCCCATGAGAGAGTAAGAGATTGAACTTAAAGCTTCCAGCCCTTTTATAATTGGCATTAATCCATTCATGAGGGTGGAGCTCTCGTGACCTAAACACCTTCCATTAGGCCCCACCTCCCAACACTGCTTCATTGGAGATTAAGTTTCCAATTAAGTTTTGGGGGCAACACATTCAAAGCATAGCAATGGATATTGCCAAAAAGTCATTCTGTGTTAGACCACACTTTTTTCAGGTCCTCTGGCTGGGGGAAAATAGACTTTTCTTAGAGCCATGTATATCTGTGCCAGTTGGCAGTTCTAGCTGGTGGACTTCTGTAGCACCGTGGCCAGAATATGTGGGGTCAGTAAGAAACTCCAGGGAACATATTGCCATGTTGTTTTTGTCTTGAGGTCCCTAGGTAGCCCACTTTCTTCTCACATTTCAGAGTCTTCCCATGCTTATTCTTGTGTTGTGTCCAGGGTTTTTGAGTTGTAAGAAAGAAAAAAACTTGGAAGAAAAAAGGTTGCTCCATCTTGCCTGGGAATGGAAGTTTTCATTAATGAGATTTTTATCTAAAGAAAGGAAGGTCTGAACATGTTGGGGGAAGTTTGATACTACAGTTTTTGCATGAATCAGTAACTGGGTCAAGGGAAGCTTTATCTCTTCAACTTGAACTGCTGATCTTTATAGGAATTTTTGCTAGTGCAAGAATCTCATATAAGCGGGCAAGGCTTCCATAACCAGAAAACGTACTCAAAGCTAGTCCCTGTTCCTGTCAATGTCCATTTGTGATCCTGTTTGTATCTTCCTGAGCAATAAAGACCCACTTTATCATTTTTATATCACAAACAGTTGAAGTCCTTACTAGGTTGAGTGCATATGAAGGAAAGTTTTGTCTTACCAACACAATTGATTAAAACTGTATTCGCTCTTAGGTATTTATGTGAGTGCACCAATATGAAACAAAATTTCATTTCCCAGCAATAAATAGACTAATTATGGTTGTACTACCCATCTTTGTGACTCTGAAGTTAACAACAAGCCTTTATCATAGCTGATGCAGTTGAACAGTATCCTAGAAACCAGGAAATGTAGGCTCTTTTATTGCAGTGATTGGCTCTCTTGATACACTCTACA